ACACACACACACACACACACACACACACACACACACACACACACACACACCCCAACTCCCACCAAGACTCCTCCTCCTATGCCCACCCCACATGAAACCCATCGGTGAAGTCTCCCCTGGGGTGCTGAGTACTGCTTCAGGAAATAGCACACCTGGGCCCTATCATAAGAACCACTGAAAATAGCAGGGCCATAAAATTCAAACAATTCATCAGAAGTCTAATGACCAATCAATCTCATCTGGACCTTCCATGCCACCTCCATTTATCCCTTGCCTGCACATTCAACTTTCACGACTCTCTCCAAGCACCCTGCCCTGCTGCCTTTCCAGGAACTCCCAAATGACAATTTCTTCCTTCCACAGCCCACATGAAGGCAGTGTTTATAAATGGCTAAAGAACAGGCTCTAGAGTCTGTCTGGTTTCAAGTCTGTCATTTTCTCTGTGACTTGGTCACCTAATCTTTCTGTTTCCCGGTTTCCACTTAAGGTTGTTTTGCGGATTCAGTGAGATAACGCATACAAAGTTCTTATCAAAGTGTTTGGCCTAGAGTAAGCACTCAATAATTATTGGCTATTAAGATGATTATCGTTCCTCAAATCCTTCCTATTTGTCCCAGAGGAAGAGGTGTCCTCTCACCTGGGCTCAAAGACAATTCACATAACTGGGCTCTACATCCTTGCCCCTCCCACCATCACTATTGCCCCTGTCTCTCTTTCTACTGGCTCTTCTCCTTTAGGGCATAAATATCTGAAAAACAAACCTCTTCTCAATCTAATAGTCCCCACACTGTGTCCCTTCTTTCTCTCTCATCTCCTCACATACTTGGCTAAGCAGTCCTAGGTCCCTAGGCCATATGCTTCTGTACATTGTCTATTCATCCTGTTCCTGATTATGCTTCCACAACCAATGTCCAAGGACACAGAGCCACCAGAAGGCTCTGTATTGAGGGTATTGACCACAATGCTACTCTTCTCTCTGATAATTTCAGAGTGTTTAGTGGCCTTCCAGACATGGGCCCCGGAGGGGCTGTGATCAATAAGAAAATGTCAAAGTGAGGACACACCCCCATTTTCAGTGATGCCTCAATCGTTGACTTGGGCATGTGCTTGCTGCGACACACCTCTAAGATGTTGGCCAGACTGCTGTTGAGTTCAGGGTTGGGGCCTCCTTCTGAGATAGAGAGAAAAGAGTGAGTGAAAACACTGCATTACAGCCAGGGGGAAAGAAGGGATTTCTGCCACTCTACCCACCTCCAGCCAGAACAGTAGCAGGTCGCCACTTAGCTCTCAGTTCATTTAGAACATTAATTCAGCGTTTGAATACAGAGAAGTATTTTGGAAAAGAAGGCTCTAATTCACTCTTTAAGGGCGGATATCTTCCTGCGAGGTTTCAGTGAACACCACTTTGAATCGGGTAAGAAATGAAAATGGTACCAACATTTCCTGGACTTATTAATACCCCTTGCTCTGACACCACTATTTTGTAGTTATTGAAACATACACATGACAGAGCATGTAATCACGCTGTCTCTAAGAGTAGGGGCTATATCTCATTGTCTTGTGTTACCAGTGCACATAACAAACATTCAATACTGTTATCTAACTCAGTATCAAGATTTTAGAAGAAAAGGAAGCAAAGAGAAATATCAGGCATGAGTTCTAGGGGTAAACTTATATTTACTGAGTGCCTATTATGCACCAGAAATGACCTCAAGGTAGGCACTATCCCTGTTTTAGATTAGAAAACTGAAACTCGGGGAACCTGGGTGGCTCAGTTGGTTAAGTGTCCGACTCCAGCTCAGGTCATGATCTCATCATTTATGAGTTCGAGCCCTGCGTCAGGCTCTGTGCTGACAGCTCAGAGCCTGGAGCCTGCTTCACATTCGGTGTCTCCTTCTCTCTGTCCCTCCTCTGCTTGCACTCTCTCTCTCTCTCTCAAAAATAAATAAACATTTAAAAAAATAAAGAAAGAAAACTGAAACTCATCAAGGTTAAGCCATTTGCTCAAAGTCATACAGTTAGTAAGTGACAGAAACCAAGTCTTCTTGACTCTGAAGTCCATAATTTTTACAGGACTTGTTCTCCACTCCTACAGGTATCTGACACTAAATACAAAAACAAACAAAAAAAGCCTTTCTACAGTGGCTACACAGTTGAAAAAACCATGCTTGCAAACTTACCTTCCAAGAAAATGTGTCTTAGGAAACCCTAACAAAGCAAACTGAGTCTGGGCAACTAACAGCTTTACTCAACGCCCCTGCCACACAACTATGTGCCACCAGAGGGGACTAGAGGGTTTGATTTGTCTCTACTGAAAAGACACACGAGTGACCTTACCCTTAGGGTGTGTTTCTAAGAAGTATCCAGCTACACTCTAGAATGAAGTCACTTTCACCATTATCATCCTAAGAGCAACTCTGTGACAAGCAGGCACACGCTCAGCATCTGGAAAGGTGAGTGGAGACCTACAGTGTAGGGAGGTGTTTTGAACGTTTAAAAAGTGGGCAACGGTGAGTATTAGGAAAAGAAAAGAATATGAAGGACCAAGGATCGGAGTTGGCTCTGGTTTAGCTCTGGGAGGCAAGCGAGGCTTTGGGCGCGGAGAGGACAGCAGCGGACGACCGTCAGGTTCTTACCTTTAACCGCCAGGCGGATGCTCAAACAGAGCTTGGAGAAGATGCGACTCCTTTCGGCGTCCTTGGGACCCTTGATATGCCGGACTTTGGACCACTTGTTGTGCCCTGCGGGGACCGCCGCGCTGAGGTGCAGCGTCCTGCCCGGAGCGGGGTTGCAGCCCGTGGGCTCAGGCTGGGAGGCCGCGAGGGTGGACGGAAGAGCCGCCCGGACACCGGGGCCTTGAGCCCACAAGCACCGGGCAGGAACTCTGCCTAGGCTGACAGCGGCCCAAGACGCCATCGGCTCCGACCCTGGGCCAAGGTCAGCAAGAGCAGCCAAAGAGCAGCGACCACGGTCAGCCCGTGGTGTCCGCCAGAGAAACAAGCAGGTCCCGAGCCTGCGGCTACCTCCGCCCTTCACCGGAGACCCAAGTGCTCAGGCCAGGCCGGGGAAGCAGTGACACGAAGCACCCTGCACCATCCCCGCGGAAGCCGGGAGTGGGTGCCCTCCATAAAGTAACACACTTCCTTTCCCCGGTCCGTTCCGGAAACGTGCCCCCATCGCCCGCAAAATCCGTTCCGTCTCGCGGTACTCGCTTGTTTGTCGTACCGGTGCAGAGCTGGGGCGAAGCGGGGCGACCTTTTTTTTTTTTTAAGGTGTAACTAATAGTTCACTTAGGAATTTATTATTGTTATTATCCAAGCTTCTTTGCGATGGGCTCGGCACTCTCCTCGTACTTTGCCGTATTAGAAACATCAGATTACTCCTAGTACTTCTCCCAGTTCCTTTGTTCAACACAAACCTGTCTTTGCTGGTCTTTGTTCCACTTGACTTCACCTGGCTAACTTTTGTTTTCCTTCAAGATTCAGCTCAGGCATCATTTTCCACCAAATGGAAACATCTCCAGATTCTCCAGTCGGGTTCAGATGCCCTACTTTGTGCTCACATAACTCTTCACACACGTCTGTACCTTAGCACATAACTTTTTAATATAAACATGTTTATGGCTCTGCCACAGTATTAAATTCTTTGAGAGCAGGTTGGTACCCTTGTGTCTGGCACAGTTCTTCGGGTTTTTTGTTTTGTTTTAAACAGCTTTATTGACATGATTTACATGTCATACAAGTCACCAATTTAAAGTGTATAATGGCTTTTAGTGTATGTATTCACAGATTTTGGTTGCCATCATAACAATCAATTTTACATTTTAGTCACCCCAGAAAGAAACCTTTTACCCATTAGTCATTGCCCATTTCCCCCCAATTCCCTCAGTCCTAGGAAACCACCAATTTACTTCTGCCTCTATGGGTTTGCCTATTCTGAACATCTCATGTGAACAGAATCATACAATATGTGGTCCTCTGTGACTGCCTTCTTTCACTTGGCATATAGTGTTTTTAGGCTTCATCCATGTAGCATATGTCAGTATTTCATTCCTTTTAATTGCCAAAAAATATTCCATTGTATGGATATACCAATTTTATTTACCCATTCATCAGTTGATGGACATTTGGGTTGTTTCCACCTTTTGACTATTATGAATAATATTGTCATGAACATTTATGTTCAAGTTTTTGTACAGACATGTTTTTGTTTCTCTTGGGTATACAACAAGGAGTGGAACTGGTGGATTGTATAGTAACTCCATTTAACCTTTTGAGGAACTGCCACAGTTTTCTAAAACAGTTGCATTATTTTACATTCCCAACAGCAACATATGAGGTTTCCACTTTTCTGTACATCCTTGCCAACACTTATCTCTTTTTGACTATAGCTGTTGACATCCTAGTGGGTATGAAGTGGTTTCTTTTTTTTTTTTTTTTTATTGTTTATTCATTTTGCCCCCCCCCCCCCCCCCCGGGGGGGGGGGGCACGGGCTGAGAGAGAGGGAGACAACAGCATCCAAAGCAGGCTCCAGGCTTTGAGCTGTCAGCACAGAGCCTGATGCGGGCTCGAACTCACGAGCTCTGAGATCATGACCTGAGCTGAAGTAGGACGCTTAACCCACTGAGCCACCCAGGTGCCCCATGAAGTGGTTTCTCATTGTGGTTTTGATTTGTATTTCCCTAATGACGAATGATGTCAAACATCTTTTCATGTGCTTATGAAAATACTATTCATACATAGTATTACTTTTTGTAATTTAAAAATATAGTTTAATATAAATGTTACTTTGAATAGCAAAACGCAAATTAAGAGAATTTATAATTGCAAATAAGCATAAAGGCCAAAGTGAAGTTTGAGGTTGCCCTTGTCCTATCAGCCTAAGTCTACCAAGGCAAATCTGTAGTTCAACAAAGTCAGACTATAGACTCACTGCAACAAGTAAAACTGCGCACTATAGGGATGGTGGGGTGTCTCACCAAACAGAGGAAAAGATAATTATAATATAGTATATGTACTAGTATACATATAGTATGGACAAAGGTGGAGGTTAGGCGAAATTTCAATGAAATAGAGTTTGATAGGCTCAAAGGAACACAGAGCTGTATGAAAAGTGGGTGAACATCAGTTCTGGACTGCAAAGCAGACAGAGTTTAGTTTCTGTGGAAACTACAAAGCTAAGTGGGGAATGCTATATTCAAAAACCCCTGCTCTGAGGTTCTATACCTGCCTGGAAATCAAGGCTGCTTCTCTGCCAGTGATTTGGATTCTCCAACCAAGACTGTAGGTCTTCATTCTCACAGATATCATTTCAAACAGCAAACTTTCTGACAGTCTATGATTTTAGAGAACAAAGTTTTTCAGTGAATTAAAAAAAGAAAAGAAAGTAGTCACTGTTATGACACAGATATGCTTGGGAGAAATATTGTTTCTTGTTAACTTTGCAGCTGCTTTTATCTGTGTCTCTATCTGTGATGAACAGCAGGGCGGAGTTTTACTTTCTCAGTCTGAGCTAATACTTAACTGTTCTCAAGATAAATTCACAGATGACTGAACCATTCTAGAGCCTGGTTTTCAGGATCATTGAAGTCATGGTATGACAGAGACATAACTATTTATCTGCCACTTTTATTTCCTCTTCTGAGGCACACAGGAAGATGATCCTTCTTGACCTTCCTTGGAATCATGTGACTAAATCTGGCAGATATGGGCAGAAGTGAGTAAGCCACTTCCAGACCCTATCTTGAAAAACGTATCTCTCCCTCCCACATGTTCTGGATGATCTAGCTGACCAACCTCCAAAGAACTTCATGTAAGCAAAAAGTAAAATTTTGTTGTGTTCAGTCTGAGGCTTGGGGGTTTGTTCCTGCAGCTTAGCCCAGGCTATCAAGATGAATAATGCCAGTATTGACTCTCCCAGTTCTCCCCTTAAAAAACAAAGAGCAGGAATCTCATATTTCCCATAAAATACATGAGCAAACTGGCCTGGTCGCGGAAACCCTAGTTAGCCATCAGAACCTGGTGTCCAAACCCTGAGGGTCTGGGAGTTATCATTTGTCATCTTTCACAGCCAATAGTTCACTGAATCTTATTACCCCATCTCTTAAGTCTCTTCAGTTATGCCCTGTCCTCTCCTTCCTGCTGTTCCTGCTTTAGTTCAGGCTTTTACTTTTTCTCATCTTGATTATTATAATAAGTGAACTGACTCCATTTCACCTCCTACTCAGGCATTTTTTTCATGGCCTCCTAAAGTGCAATTCAGAGCATGACTTCCCTCTATGTAAATTTTCCAAAGTCTCATATAGGAGTTAAGGCCTGAACTTTCTGCAAAGCACAAAAGATTCTGCTTCATCGGGCTCCTGCTTACCTCTCTAGCCTCATTTCCTGCCATTCCCCATACAAAACCCCGAATCAACTTCTATTTCTCTGAATATGGCCATATTATTTCTTGCCTCTAGAGTTGTATGTGGATATTCTCTCTGCCTTAAATGTCTTTCCCTATTCCCGGAGAACTCCTACTCAGCCTTCAAAACCCAGTTCAAACATCCTTCATCTTGTGAAGTTTTCCCTGACCTCCTCTGGCTCCTACTCAGATCACCCAGGTGATCACCTCCTCTGGGTGATCACCTCCTCCTCAGGAGGCAGCCTGTAAGCCTAAACATACCCATTATGGCATAACACTGCCAGTAACTGTTTATGTGGATGTCTCCTCTGGGAGACTGCAAGTAATTTGAGGGCCATGGCCCCTGGCATAGGGTAGATGCTCTGTGTTTGGTTAAAGGTGATGAGTCAGGCTGTCAGATAGTGTGATGGGCTGGGGCAGACTCTAATCCCCCAGCCAGAGTCTCTGGAATGTGCCCACAGTGGCAGAATGGGAAGAACTGAATTCATTACAAGAAGAAATTCAGTCTATACATGTTCAAGTTTTATTACAAAGTATGATGGGCAGAAAATACGGTACTTCTTATACAGGAGGCTGAAACAGAATGAAAGGGTGAAAATTAGGTTTAATATACTCAGGAAGCAAGAAATAAAGTCATAGATGTAACACTCCACTTTCAGGTGTCTTTGAAGTAGCCTTCAATGGAGATTTACCATTGTGGTTTCACAGCACAGTGTTAACATTTTATTACAAGCCCTGTGTACAATCAATCCTGTGATAATAATATTTTAAAAAGAAAAATGGTGATAGTACAGTTCTGCAAGGGGGCAGCTTCCTCTCCACCTGACCATGGGATGTCACAAAACCTACAGTATAGAGGAAAAGCTTAAATATATAACAAGAAATTAAGTTCAGACATACTAGGCTAAAGGGGGCAGAAACTGATTGGCTAGAGCTTAACATTTCAGAGAATAAGAAATCTCCATTTTCTACATAGAGGTTTGTACAATCATGCTACAAGTTCACACTCGGGGCGGGGCGGGGGTCGGGGGAGTCACTGACAGGGTCATAATATACACAGAAACCCAAGCAAGTGATTCATTCTCAACTCAAGCAAGTCAAAGCTTTAGGTCACCAAGTTTTGTCACACACTGTATTACCACAGCCAACCCCAGGTGAGAACATTTCTCTTAAACAGCAGACACCACAAGTCCATATTCACTGGGTTGTCCTCAAGGTGGGTCCTTGTGAGTTTTCCAGCTGTTACACAGACTGCCAACATCTTTCTTCTTGAGTTCATACTTTCACTAGCTTAGCTGTTTCTGGTTTGATATACCAGTCTAAGCCTCTCTGGGAAGGCACCTGCATGTTTCCATACTTAAAAAAAATAATATCCACAAAGTAGCCTGAGAGGACCGGGCCCATACTGTGTAGCCACACCTTTGACTTTGAGTGCCAGTGGCAATGACAACGGTGGGAGAAAAGGGTGCAGGTGGGAGAGGTGGGCAAGGCTCTGCAACATGAGACACTCTGGACAGCTGGCCCAGCCAGTACAGAGAGCCTTGTCCAGGGTTCACAGTGACTACTCAGCTTAGCTCTCCTCCCTGGGAAATCACAACCTAAGTGCCAGGCATGACCCTCCTTCCTCATCCTGGAGTGCAGAGTAAAGGGAAGTGTCTTGAATGGAAGACCATTCAAGTAGATGGTCTCCCTTACTCCAAGCCAGGAGGCAAAGGAGCTGCCATATTCTCAAACTGGGGAAGGTGGCAGGAC